CTCTAGATAGGCAGAGCCAGCTGTCACTCACGCAACTGGGCAGATCCAGACATAATTGACGGGATCCCTTTCAGCTGCGGCGTCTCAGTATACCGTGAGCTGCAGCTCGCGGTATACTGAGCTTTGGGTAACGGGAGGACGCTAGTTTGTGTCCTCACGCTACCCGTCGGAGAACTATGGGGAAAAGCCCTAACCCCATGGTTCTGCTTTAAGCTTTTCCCACTCTGCTAAATTAGTTGTTTTGTTATGGTCTGTATCCTGTATCTCTGTTGAAAAAAATAAAGTAAAATGGGATAGAGTTTCACAAACTATCCAAACTAAAAAAAAGGTTTTGGTAGAAGCTGGGCTTGTGTCCCTGTTGGTGTGGGTCTGGGCAAAAGAGCAGCTGCAAATGCCAAATGCCTATGGTTTTTCCTGAATGCTGTATGATTTCCGAATATAGTTGTCAGGCTGGAACATGGGAATGGGGTGATGGTTTTTGCTAGAAGGGGACGTTAGGTCAGTCCTGGAAAGGGGGAGTGTGCATTGGTCAGATCTACAACCCTCTTCCTATTGTAGTTCACACATATTGTACATAAAAGCTCTAAAGAGTATTGCTTGCAATCTTTATCACTGTGAAAATATGTCTGGTGATGAACATAAATCTGACTTATTTTTCTTTTTCATTCACCTACCAGAATAGGGAATATCTAATAGAAAAACTCCTTACCAGAACACCAACTATTTCTCAGAGAGGGAAGAAGGTAAGGTACTGCATCCTATGACGGTTTGGTCTTGTGCTCTGCATTTCTATTGCACTTTACATCTGAACGTTTAGCAATCTGTCCTTTATAGAATACATTGGTGTGTTCAGGGCTCTGAAGGTCATCTGTCTATCAGGGAAAGAACAAACCAACCCACAAACAAGTCTGCAGAGATTAAAAACTACTGGTTGCAAGATGAAATGATCTAAAGTTCTGTGTTATGTTTTAGTTTCTATGCAGACAATAATTATGTTTTTGGGTAACATCTCAGGAGGGCATGACCTACAGCATACCTTCTACTGTCTGTTCTGTACCAGAATTTAGTGTTTTTATGCACACTTCTACAGAGCTCACGTCATAATTTAAATTCCTGTTTTTTGATGCCTGGGGAACAACATAGTAGATGGTCAATTTCTGCATCTGTATCCTGTGTCACAGAAAACCTTGGACTGAGATTAGAGATTGTAGAGTAGAGAAAGTAGAGAAAGAAAGAAAGATCACCTAAGACCAGTAACAAATCCGTGAACACACTAGAAGGACCAGCCGCAGGTCAATCTTATGCCCTAAGGGGAAGGGTTTTTTATTCTGGCGTACCACTTTCTGTACAGGCAGTAACCTTATTATTTTTTTCCATTACCTTTTATTTTTTTTTTGTTTTTGCTTTCTCTTTGTCTTTTTCTAGGTACTTTTCTGTGTTGCATCTTTTTTAAATTCCTTCTTTTTCCTTATTTGTTTTTCTCTTTCACCTCCCTCTCTTACTGTCTGTTCATGGAGGATTGATTAAACTGAACTCCAGGCAGATATAAAAGGCACAAATTAATGCAGCTCTCTTCTCAATAACACATCCTTAAAAGTATTTGTTTAATTGCAAACAGTGTAAGTACCTGAATTTGACCTATTAGCCTCTCGCAGTCCCTGTTCAGAAGAGCTCAGAGTAGCAGAGGGAGAAGCAGCACAAGAAGCCAGTCGGTTGTACTTATGTGCTACCAAGGAAACTGTTGATGGGAATAATTCTGCTGCTTCTCCTTCCACTGTCGAGTCACAGGCTGGAGGTGGTATGGAGTCCTGGAAGATGTAACTGCAGTAGAGTAAAATCAGGTATTTTGCCTTGCCAGACAAGGCTGTGATGTGTACCAGGGCTGTGTACATCTCAGGACTGGCTGGTCCAAAATACAAATCCTTTGGTAGGTAAAATGGCTCCTTTATGTTTATTAAATCTGTGTATGTAGCTGTTTACTTAAGTTTAGCATTAGAATTGAGTCAAGACAATAAGAACAACATGGAGTTGTTGCTCTTAGTGACCAATCAGAACTTGTTTTATTTCTTCATAAAATGAAAGGTCTAATGTGATTGGTTGCTGTAGATGACATCTCCAGTTTTATTCTCATTTTGTCTTCAGTTTTCATTAATTAGCCCAGCATTCTCTGTCTCTTGCTGTGTCGCTTGCTGTATTGCATACACTCTCATCTTTCTTTCTGTTTTCATCTTTTATTTTATTTTTTTTTTCTTTCTGTCTCTTTACATTTGCTATATAATTTTCTCTTTTTGTAATATGTTAATTTCCTGTGGGGCAGCACCAAGACTTCTGCCCAGGGCCTCACTTTCTTTAAAACTAGCCTGGCTGCTCACATATGCCTGGTGTTCATGATATATTATAGCTTCCACTGAACCATGATTTGTTTTTTTTTTGCTTACTTTTGAATAAAGAGTGACCCAGTTGCACTACACCCAGACAGATGCGATTTCATAAATGTCCTGGCCAGCTGGTGAGGATACACAGATATTCTCCACTGTTTAATATCCATTTCTGTTTTGCTCTAGAAAAAAACTGAACCAGTTTCCAATCTGCTCTGTGTGATGTAGGTTAATGCTTTCCATTGCCCAGAGCCATGTGTCTCCCTTCAAAACTCATTATTATCACTGTCACCACACTGCTCTGTCTGAGTGCCATCCAATATGTAAATTTTTATACTTTGTACCTGGAAGAATCAGAGCACCTTTCCGAGACAATGCTATTGATTGTGCCGTTTTTTTTTTTTTAATGCCCATGTTTTTGCTGGGATCCTTATGTTAAAATGCTTGTGTTATTAAATCTCTTTGAAGATAAAGCCCGGGTTCATTTCAGATTTACTTTCCTAATATCACTCCCTTTGGGTCATGAGTCATAAATGGAAAAAAGTTACTTTAGTGGAAAATTGGCCTTGTCTGTATAGAAAGTGAAATATTTAACAATGACATTCTAGTTGAAATGGAGATTAAACACTGAAATAATGAGCAGAATGATGCTGAAGCCCCCAGTAGTCCCTTCTAATGTATTTATTTGTAAACGTTTTTAATATTCAAAGTGTTTTTATTAAATGTAGACATATGCAATTTCCATAAACACAATCCAAACAACACATAACCCACATAACATACATAACAATCTCCAATATCTACATAACATACATAACAATCTCCAATATCTCCATATGTATGAATATAACAACCTTAGCCGATCAATACATTGTTATTCCTATTGTCCAACATAAATTGTTCCACATTAATGAGTATCCAATCTAACCCCAAGGTCTTTTCAAAAAGTGTTACCAGTAAGTATGATAAGTATTTGATATTAAAATCCCCCCTACACACTATAGGGGCTTCAAAAAGTGTTCATAAAAGAAGAAAAAAAAAGGGACCTATATAGAGATATCTATTCTTATACAAATCCAATAGACAATTTGGCAATGTCTAGGTAACCTTTCCCCAACTAATCTTACCCAGGTGCACTTTTCCCCGGGAGGTCTCGGAGGCCCCTCCAGACTATTAATTAAAACAAAAAAAAAATTACTATATTTTATTCCATCATATTTTTAGACTTTTAGTCCCAAAATTAGTGATTATCTCAAAAAATAGCCATGGAGACCAGATTGTGTAAAATGTATCATGTTGATCAAGCGACTCAATTCTATATTCCATTCCCCCAAATGTGGGGCTGTATCTGTTTTCCAATGTCCTGGGATAACTTCCCTGCCGGCTATTGGGAAGAATCTAAGAAGGTCCCTTTTAACTAATGCAAATTAGCCTGGGAACTTTAACAATAAAGCCACTTCAG